CCGATGGTAGGGCGGGGCCACAATAGGTATTACAAAAAGATCATCTGGAGAAGAAGAGCAGGGCCAAAGTTATTCAGGTGAGCGTTGTGGCCCATGGGCCTCTTGTTATTATTACTAGCATTGCCTAATTTGTCAATTTTGAGCTTGATTTGCTTGACTATTCAGGTGTTAATTGTCAAGTTGCGTCCACGTAAAATAAAACAAAGTGAAACTTACCAAAGTGATACAAGGAAAATGTGTCTTGTATTTAGGACAAAGTTAATACATTTATGCACTTATAAATAATTTAACGTTATCAAAATTCCCCGACTTAAATATGATATGAAATCGTTAATAAATGGATCTATGCACTTTTTTACAAGCCAACGGGCATTTATTTTCTAGCTAATTGATGTAATTCGTCCTCAGGGATGAAGAAATAAAATACATGATCTTGTAGTTGTAACTTTTAACACTTATATTTGTTAAGTGTCCCGCGGACATTGTCATGGTTAAAAACAATAAACATGATAATTAGAATTTAGGTTAGCCATATGCCATATCGGTCTCCATGTTTATATGAAATGTTACTTCAAAGTTTATAGTCAAAAGATAGGTGTCCCAGAGAGGGAAATGATACCATTCTTTCATGAACTTGATTTGTCTATATTATTCAGTTTAGTGTTGTGTGACAACAATAAAGATGTGAAAACCAATATAAGAATAAGTTATATATAGTTGGGGATCCCTGTATAGATAAAGTAACATCCAACATCAGCACAAACGATTGTTCCTTTCAGTATTCTCAGTTCTGTAATTGTGTTTAAGGGCACAATGGAGCCTACCAAGTTTTATTGATGAAAGGAACTGATGGTATAAAATCTGATTCAGTATCCAGGTAAGAAAACCAACGAAACCCAGTTTGGAGAATGTATCAATACTGTTTTCCATCAAAGATTTTGGTTCAGTTCAGCTTTTCATGCAATCGTAATCGAAGATTCGGGGATATATAGTTTTTGCCCTGTGCGTCCGTCTGTCTGTCTGTCTGTTTGTGCGCAAAAACTTTAACATTGCCCATAACTTTTGATTGGTTAGAGCTATGGCTTTCATATTTCACATTTATATTCTTTGTGACAAGACCTTTCTTTGGGTACCATCATATTTGACTTTTTGACCTTGACCTTGGAGTTTTACCCAGTTTTGCAAAATTTTACCACACATAAACCCTGGCCATTACTTTTGAACAATTGGTGCTAGGGCTTTCATACTTCACATGTATAATTCTTATGACAAAACCTTTCTTTGGATAACAACAACTTTGACCCTTTGACCTTGACCTTGGAGTTTGACCTACTTTTGAAAAACTTTAAAATTGGTCATAACTTATAAACTGTAGGTGCTAGGGCTTTCATATTTCACATATGAAATCCATGTAAAAAGATCTTCCTATGGATACCAACAACTTTGACCCTTTGACCTTGACCTTGGAGTTTGACCTACTTTTGAAAAACTTTAACCTTGACCATAACTTCTGAACAGTTGGTGCTAGGGCTTTCATACTTAAAATATGTAGTCTTTTTTGACAAGACCTTCTTTTGGATATTAACAATTTTGACCCTTTGCTTCTGACCTAGGAGTTAGACCTACTTTTGAAAAAAAACTTTAACCTTGGCCATAACTTTTGAACGATTGGTGCTAAGGCTTTCATACTCCTCATATGTAATCCTTGCGACAAGACCTTCTAATGGATACAAACAACTTTGACCCTTTGACATTTACGGGACATCAGTGTTTCACAAACACATCTGAGCCAAATTCTCAAGTTTTGAAATTTATCATCTGTCGTCGTCGCAGTTGGCTAAAACTTTTCACATTTTCGTCTTCTCTCCAGGCCACTGGGCCAATTAAAAATTTAAGCAAACTTTGCACAGAGTAGTCCTTGTTAAGGGGATTAAAGTGTTCTTGTCCTTTTCCAAGAAGAGATATTCAAGAAAAGGCAAAAATAGAGAGAGATTATTCAAAAATCTTCTTGTCACGTTAGAAAAGATGAAACTTATGTGACAGCTTCCTGATAAGTGTAAATTCAAGTCTGTTCAAATCAAAGCCTCCGGGGAAAGAATGTGGCCACAATAGAGGATCAAAGTTTTACATGGGAAAATACATGTTTGGGGAGGTAAATCTTTACAAATTTTCTTCTGAGGAACCGCAAGGCGATGTTTAGTCATATTGATATGCAGGCATCCTCATGTAGTGAATATTCAAGCTATCCAAAATATGGGCCCGGTAGTTTGCTTCGAGTGTTTATCAACTGGAAATTTCAGTGCATATCATATTAACAGTGTTAGTATAAATCTATCATGTTGTAAATTTTGAATTTACTAGGTGGAGGTAAATGAAAATTTTACAACATTACTTGATACCGTGTTGTAAATTTTGAATTAACCTGCACCAAGTAATTCAAAATTTACCACATGATAAATCCAACGTTGATCAAACTTGAGATATATCGCTTCTGGTGGTACATATCAGTATTGGTGACTAGAATGCTGCATGCCATTTTTTCCCAGATTGGAAATGATGTTAAATTTCTGAAAAGGGATTTTTTCCTTAGTCATAACAAGCCCATGAATGACCAAGCTTGCAACTTGCATATTGCATTGGAGGATATCTGCCACGTAGCTGCTAGGTAAGCCACTACGATCTTGAACGCAGTCCTGATATAACACTTTAATATCGTGAGT